CAAGAGTGAACACAACCCAAAAGAATCTAACAAGGTCCAAAGCAGAACTAAACCAGGATTAAACCAAGACTTAACCAGGACTAAACCATAGCCTGCATCTTGTAAACACACAATAGTACCAACGTGGTCTGAAGATGCCTTTTTCTGACAAGGAAAAGCCAAGGATGAAACCTGGTCTATACCTGAACTAAACCAAGCCTAAACCAGGTCAAAACAAGATTTATAATTAACCAGGTCTAAACGAGAACTAAACCAGCACTAGACTAACCTTGTACCGTAACGTACATCTTGTAAACGTGGTTGTACCAAAGTGGTCTGAATATGGCTTTGAATCTATCTTGAACCAAGGTCTAGTAAACCAGGTCTATGCCAGAACTAAACCAAGACTAAATCAAGAATTAACCAGCACTAAACCAGGACTAAACCAGGGCTCAGAAATCTTTCATCTCACTGGCTTTTCTATCCAGGAAAACCAGAGCTGAAAAAATAATCTAAGGTCTATAATTAACTAAATCCAGACAAAAACTAAACCAGGACTAAGATAGAATTAGCCCAGGTCTAAACCAAAACTAAACCAGCACTAAACCAGGACTAATCCACGATTACCCTAACCTTGCACACTAACCTGGATTTTGTAAACCAAAGTGGTCTGAAAATTACTTTGAATCTACCTTGAACCAAGGTCTAGTAAATCAGATCTAAGCAAAAACTAAACCAGGACTAAACCAGGACTAAACTAAGACTAAACCAAGACTATTCTAACCCAGAAAGCTTTCATCTAACTGGCTTTTCTATCCAGGAAAAGCAGAGCTTAAAAAAGAATTTAAGGTCTATAATTAACCAGGCCCAAACAAGAACTAATCCAGGTCTAAGATAGAACTACCTCAAGTCTAAACTAGAACTAAACCAGCACTAAACCAGGACTAAACCAGGACTGTTCTAACCCAGAAATCTTTTATCTAACTGGCTTTCCTATCCAAGAAAACCAGAGCTGAAAAAAGAATCTAAGATCTATAATTAACTAGGCCCATACAAGAAATAAACCAGGTCTAAGTCAGAACTAAACCAGGACTAAACGAGCACTAAACCAGGACTAAACCAGGACTACCCTAACCTTGAACCCTAACCTACATTTGTAAACCAAAGTGGTCTGAAGATGGCTTTAAATCTACCTTCAATCTAGTAAACCCGATATAAGCAAGAACTAAACCAAGACTAAACCAGGACTAAACCAGGTCTGAACCTGGACTAAAACAGGACTAAACCAGGTCTGAACCAGGATTAAGCCAGGGCTATTCTAACTCAGAAATCTAACTGGATTTTCTATTCAGGAAAACCCAGAGCTGAAAAAAGAATCCAAGTTCTATAATTAACCAGACCCAAACAAGAACTAAACCAGGACTAAGATAGAACTAGCCCAGGCCTAAACCAGAACTAAACCAGGTCTACCATGTCCAACCCCGCACCCTAACCTACATGTTGTAAACAGGCGGTAGTACCAAAGTGGTCTGAAGATGGCCTTTCTATGACATGAATAATTTGTGATGCTGAAAGCTCTTGATGCTAACCTTAAGAGTTGAGTCCTGGTGGGGTTTTCCGACACACTCGCCGCTTTGAAATCCTCTTACTTTTTCCACACACAAATATACAGACACGCACGCACCCACACACACACAAACGCACACACACACACAGACAAATATGGCGTGGAGGATTTATTTTCGCTGTGATGAAAAGGATTATTGGATCAAGGAAGAGACCGAATGCAGTTTTAGCTCAGTTTGGTACGGCGATTCGCGATGACTGATTCCCTCTCCTCTCCTGATCGCGGATGATTCTGGATTTAATTTCAAAACTTCGGAGTCAAAATTTCGCAAAAACCACAATGGATTTTGAGAGGTTTTGTTAATTTACCATGGAGCAACGGCGAAGGAGGTTTACAGTTTTCTCGGAGGCGATGACATGATGAAGAGATGTATCCGAGCGAGGTGCAAAACCGCTTGGATTCTTGTGGGGATGACGTGCTCATCTAGTACGCATTTTGGATTTTTTTTCACTTATTTATTTAGATTATAATAGTGTAACTTTGACCTAGTTATGCAAGATTAATAACAATTAGTCTGCAGTTTTCAAAGTACCGTAATTTCCTTCACAAGCAACACGATTTATGCATTTTCTTGTTTATAAAGTTGCTTTTTTGGTTGTTTTTACAGATTTCAAATTATTGTTGTAAGAATATAGCTCTATATAACTAGAATTTGACCTTTTTTTAAATTTTACGCAAGGTTTAACTTAAAGTGTTCGTGTTACGTTATTTTCTGATCTGTTATAATGTCGTTTCCTCATCAAAAACAGACCTGGAGTTGTGTTTTGTTTTGTTTCATTCACACATGTTTAACGCACAAATGCTCTTCTCTCAAACTGAAAATACTCTGTTCCACCTCATGATGTCATGTGGTGATACAGGAAGGAGTGATCCAGTGTGTTTTTAAACTCCACACACCTTCACTAGAATCATTTGGATTCATTTTTGTCCTGGAATTGCCAATCTCTACTGAAATATAAGGTAAAAAGAGCTGTTAAGAACTTGAAAATTACCACTACATGACATCACAAGGTGGAACAGAGCATTTCAAGCTTTGGAGATGTAGACAGACTAATATTAAAGGATTACTCAAACATGTGAATAAAACAAAATCACAACTCCAGGTCTGTTTTTGATGAAGTAACAACATTATAACATGACTTTTAGCTCACAAGAGTCAATTTTTCCATAATATTGAACCTTATAATTTGGTCCATTGTGTTTTGATTTGGTTTTGTCCCTCCCCTCATACAGAAATGTAGATCTACCATCTTTGTTATACATTGATTTGTATTGTTATTTATATTTGAATGCTTTATAGGCATAACTGAGTTGTAATTAACAGGGCTTACAATGATCGTACTCAGTTAAGCTAACTGTTGGCTCTCTGCCTTTAAGTTAAGTACAGTGAGCCAAAGCCACGGACTTAAAGATCCTATATGGCCGTATTTTTGGACTATAAGTCACTCCAGAGTGTAAGTCGCACCAGCCAAAAATGTGTCATGAAGAAGAAATAAACATATATAAGTGGCACTTTTGGGGGGAAATTATTTTATAAAATCAGAGTCCAGGAACCGACATTTACTCTTGAAAGTCAAGTTCTAGTAAAAACAATAGAACAGAGAACAACAGACTGTTAACGTCACATATGAACAGTTCTTCAGATAAACTATAACATAAACAACAGAACAAAACAAGTTTAACAAACTCTCCATCTCACTCCAAATCACTAAATCCATTCAATTCTTCATCCTCGGTGTCACTTCTGAGCAACTCCACGACCTCCGGAGGTAAACAGAGCGCCGCTTCCTCTTCTGTGTCGCTGTCGTCAGACTCAGCATCAGTTCCAATTAGAATTATTCCGGTCTTTCTGAATCCCGACAGGATGGTTTCGGTGTCACTGAAGTCCAGGCTTTGTCCATCCATCCAGTGACTTCCAGGAAAGTTTCATGGTGCATCCTCCCAGTTGCCATGGAGTTGTGTTCTCCATCCCTGCTTTCCGCCAGTCCCTCACAAGTGTCCCTCTCACTCCAGACTTTCTTTCTGCTGCTCGATGACCATTTTCAGGACAGAGGCTCTTTCTGCAGGAGACATGCGCAGTAGAGTGAAGTGACAGTGGTGCAGGAGGAACAGGAGCAGCAGATACTCACACACAAGACTAGAACCTCTCGCGGCTTCAGTGTAAAAATTTTAATATACAAGTCGCACAGGAGTATATAAGTCGCAGGAAACACCCAAACCATGACAAAAAGTGCGACTTATGGTCCAAAAAATACGGTACACAAAATGAACTTGTGAGCTTTTAGCCGTGTTAGACTGTTGCTACCTCCTCAAAAACAAACCTGGAGTTGTGTTTTGTTTCATCCACACATGTTTGAAGAATCTTGTGTTATGAGTCCATCTACATTTCCAAAACTCAAATTGCTCCTTTTCACATAACATAGATCAAAAAACAGTGTAATATGGGCGCTAAATTTCTTGTTTTTGTACAGTTAAAGGAGACTTAATAATCAATTTTTTAGACACGTTGCTCTGTTTAACCCTTTTTCAACACCCCGGATACACGCCCACTGCTCTGTACTTACTTCATTCTGCAGTTTTATTTTCTTAATCAGTGATACTCACAGGATTCCACAACATCGCATAGTCATTTAGGTACAAATGAGTAAATAAAATAAAAATACTGCTCCCTAGTGTGATTTTCTGCGGCTGTCCACAGGAGGTGTTGACAGCTACACAGATCTTTGTTGTGATGAGTTTTACAGCGACGGTTTCCAACCTAGAAATCAGCAGACGTGTTTCTTTTATTAAGTCATTTTTGATCAATATTGTGATTTAAAATATCCAAAATATAACATAATGATCCTCAGGTGTCATAGATCTTAACAAAATAACAGACTCAAGCACAGTATGTTCAGACTTAGTACAATATTTTAGTGTTTTATTGAAGTGTAGTATTTATTTTAATAGATTCTTTTTTCAGATCACGGTTTAATTTGTTTTCTTACCTTTTGATTCTGATATTAAACACAATACAAAAAGTAAAAGACGTACATCGAGGTTTGAAGAAAGTAAGAAAGAAAGAATGAATGGCTTCTGTTCGTCTTAAATGGAAGTGCAAGTGTGTGTGTGAGTAGATAAATAATAAAACAGAAAAGAAACAAAAATAAGAGGGTAAGGGATAAGATTAATTGAGTCAGCTTCTCTTTCTTTTTTTTACTTTTGTTTTTTTTCTCCTTCCCTTTTTTTTGTTTTCATACCTGACTGCTCTCTAGCGCTGTCTTCCTGTCAGGAACGAAAACAAACCAAACCTCGGTCTGAAAAAATAATGGATTAAATTAAATTACCCGAGCACCAGACGAAACTTTATTGGACTTGAAGTATTTTAGTTAATAGTTGTTGTTTTTTTTTGTAGCCATAAGAACAAACCGTCTGGCTGGCCTCCCCCCGGTCCGGGCTCCTGGGGGGGACTGCAGGGGCCCCCGTACAGCTGGGACAGTATGAACAGCTCCAGAGAGGACTACCTCACCAGGTAAGTACTACAATACTACTACACGTACTTTAACTATTAGGAGTAAGCTACTACTACTACTACTACTGCTATTACTACAATTTCAAAAACAAACATGTCTCTTATCTCCTCTTTCCTCGTCTCCTCAGCTTCTCTCTCCTTTTGTACTCTCTCCTCGGCTCCTCCCTCCTCGTCTCCTCTCTCCTCGTGTCCTCTCTTCTTGTCTCCTTCCTCCTTGTGTCCTTGTCTCCTCTCTCCTCGTCTCATCTCCTTTCTTCTCCTCGTCTCTTCTCTCCTTTTGTCTTCTTTCCTCATCTCCTTCCTCCTCATCTCCTCTCTCCTTTTGTCCTTTCTTCTCGTCTCCTTCCTCCTTATGTCCTTGTCTCCTCTATCCTTGTATACTCTCTCTTCATCTCCTTTCTCCACGTCTCATCTCCTCCCTTCTCCTCGTCTGCTCTCTCCTTTTGTCTTCTTTTCTCATCTCCTTCCTCCTCATCTCCCCTCTCCATTTGTCCTCTCTTCTCGTCTCCTTCCTCCTTATGTACTTGTCTCCTCTTTCTTCATTTCCTCTCTCCTCGTGTCCTCTCTCTTCATCTCCTCTCTCCTCGTCTCATCTCCTCCGTTCTCCTTGTCTCCTCTCTCTTCATCTCCTCTCTCCTTTTGTCCTCTCTTCTCATCTCCTTCCCCCTCGTGTCCTTGTCTCTCGTCTCTCTTCATCTCCTCTCTCCTTGTGTCCTCTCTCCTTTTATCCTCTCTCCTCGTGTCCTTGTCTCCCTTCTCCTCTTTTCCTTGTCTCCTCTCTCTTCATCTCCTCTCTCCATTTGTCCTCTCTTCTCGTCTCCTCTTTTCTCTTCTCCTCTCTCTTCAAGTGTGACTCATCTCTCCTTGTGTCCTCTTTCCTTTTGCCTTCTCTCCTTGTCTCTTCCCTCCTCGTGTCCGTGTCTCCTCTCTCCTCATCTCCTCTCTCCTTTTGTCCTCTCTTCTCGTCTCCTCCCTCCTCGTGTCCTTGTCTCCTCTCTCTTCATCTCCTCACCTTTTGTCCTCTCTTCTCGTCTCCTCCCTCCTTGTGTCCTTGTCTCCTATCTCTTCATCTCCTCACCTTTTGTCCTCTCTTCTCATCTCCTCTCTCTCTTCAAGTGTGACTCATCTCTCCTTGTGTCCTCTCTCCTTTTGTCCTCTCTTCTCATCTCCTCTCTCCTTGTGTCCTCTCTCCTTTTGTCCTCTCATCTCATCTCCTTCCTCCTCGTGTCCTTGTCTCCTCTCTCTTCATCTCCTCTCTCCTTGTGTCCTGTCTCTTCATCTCCTCCCTCCTTGTCTCCTCTCTGCTCATCTCCTCTCTCCTTCTCTCCTCTTCTCCTTATCTTCTCTCTTTGTCCTCATCTCCCCTCTCCTCTTGCCTCCTATCTTCTCTCCTCCTCATCTCCTTGTCTCCTCTCTCTCTTTCTCTCCTTTCTCTTTGCTTCCCTCCTTGTGTCCTCATCTCCTCCTCTCCTCATTTCCTCTCCTCTCGTCTGCTCTCTGCTACAGTCCACTCTTCTTTCATTTGTATGCGCCGCTTGCTTTTGTATTGTTTTAGTGATTTGTCATTCCGGTGCTTGACTTGTGCTGAGTAAACATACAAACTCAAACTAAAGTGGTCTGAATGAGATTTGTAACTCTGCTGGTTCTTACGTGTGACTAAAAACAGATGTCAGTGGAAAAGACAGAAGGCAGTTCATTTTAAAGGTGCACTGTGGAACTTTTTGCCGCTGTTCTGCCTCGAATTTTCCACAGTGTGACATTAAACGGCAAATTTTATAGTTTTATAGCTCAAAAATACAGAGAAAAACAAACATTCTGACTGTGAGCGAGTCGCCTCTCCACAGATCTGACCTGTAACTTGGGTTGGTTTGGTCTCCATGTCTCCTCTCTCCTTATCTCCCATCTCTTCGCCTCCTCTTCCCTCTTCTCCTCATCTTCTCTCTCTCTCCTCATCTCCTCATCTCCTCTCTCCTCTTCTCTCCTATCTCCTTTTGTCCTCTCTCCTCGTCTCCTTGTTTCCTCCCTCTTTGTGTCCTTGTCTCCCCTCTCTCTCTCCTCATCTCCTCTCTCCTCGTTTCCTCTCTCCTTATGTCCAGTCTCTTCGCCTCCTCTCCTCTCTCGTCTTGTCTCCTCCCTCCTTTTGCCCTTTCTCCTCATCTCCTCCCTTCTTGTATCCTTGTCTCCTCTTTCCTTCTCTCTCTCCTCTCTCCTCATCTTCTCTCTCTCTCCTTATTTCCTCTTCGCCTCCTCTTCCCTCTTCTCCTCATCTTCTCTCTCTCTCCTCATCTCCTCATCTCCTCTCTCCTTTTGTCCTCTCTCTCGTCTCCTCGTTCCCTCCCTCCTCGTGTCCTTGTCTCCCCTCTCTCTCTCCTCGTCTCCTCTC